GTGTGTGTGTGTGTGTGTGTGTGTGTGTGTGTGTGTGTGTGTTCTCGTGAGCGAACTGAGGCAGGCGGACGCACATGTTTTGGCGTGCAGTAAACGAAATCAGCCGGTTCACCCATAATGACATGCAATGAATGGTAGTCGATGCAGACGTACGTGACACGGCGCCTGCTGCGTCCAAAATGTAGAGCGTGCCCGTGCTCGACCCAACAGCCACGTCATCTTCACCGTGGGCGAAGCAAGTTATGTGTAAGGATGTGTGTGTGTGTGTGCGTGAGTGTGCGTGCGTGTGTGTGTGCGCGTGAGAGAGAGAGTGTGTGTGTGCGTGTGTGCGTGCGTGTATGTGCTTGCACGTGCACGAGTGCGAGTGTGAACGTATGCGCGTGGTGGTGATGAAGGTCACGCTTTGTTCACCAGCGACGACGACGACGGTGACGTCGCCACTCAGCAACCCCTCCCAGCAACGCGCATTCATCCGAGCAACAGGCAAAACGAACCTGTGATGGGGTGAAAGTCGCCGGATACGGGTACCTCGTCCTCTTCCTCGTCCTCCACCACAAACGAGTGCCGACGCCAGAGCTGTCAACGAAGTGACGGCAGCCCGACATGTGTGAGCGAATGTGGGTGTGCCCCCAGCGTGTTGCGTGCACCACACAGCATCGCGCAAATGCTGGGTCATGCAACCACAGTCGTAACAGCCACAACGGCCACCGCAGTTGTCACCACAGTTGCAACACCAACAACAACAACAACAACAACAACAACAACAACAACAACAACAACAACAACAACAACAACAACAACAACAACAACAACAACAACAACAACAACAACAACAACAACAACAACAACAACAACAACAACAACAACAGTGTCAACAGTGGTCACCTCGGTATGGGTGGCGGTGTCCCAGGCCCGGACAGACCCGTCGGCAGAGACAGTGAGCATCGTGTTTGCTTTGCGGGGGTGCGCACGCACACACGTCACGTCGTCTGATGCAAGACAGCAACAGTAGCAGTGGTGGTGGTGGTGGTGGTGGTGGTGGTGGTGGTGAGATGTGTTGTGGCGGGCGTGAGGAATGGTGTGAAGCTGTGCGGACATACACGAAGATAATTGACCAGCAAACTGCCGCACACATTCACGCACACACACACGTTCACACACACACACATTCACACACACACACACACACACACACACATTCACGCACACATACACACACACACACACACATTCACACACACATACACACACACGCACATGTGTGCACGTGTCACTGACCGGCGTGTCCCGGTACGAGCTGTCCAACGCTGCCCGCGCCGGCGTCCACAAACACGACAAAGTTCGCCGTGGTCCCCACCTGCCCACGCCCCATTCAAGTGCACACGTGTGCATGCATGTTGTGTGGAGTTGTGAGATTGGGGTGGGCAGGTGATGGGAGCCACGTGCGATGGTTTGTCACCCGTGTTTACCTCAACCACGCACGCACGCACGCACGCACGCACGCACACGCACGCACACACACACACACACACACACACACACACACACACACACACACACACACACACACACACACACACACACACACACACACACACACACACACACACACGCACACACGCACGCACGCGCACGCGTCATGTGAACGCACCACAAACTGGGAGAGGCTTGGGCCGTCGACTGTTGGGACGCAAGCGATGCAGCGCACACACGCGCCGACATCAATCGTGTTCACCTCGCCAGCATCAATCGGGAACATCTGTGTGTGTGTGTGTGTGTGTGTGTGTGTGTGTGTGTGTGTGTGTGGTGGTATGTGAGTGTTGATTGCTGGGACGGCACGGCTGTCAGTTCATTTCTGGCGCGCACACACACACACATACACACACACACACACGCACCTCAAAGTCCCATGTCCAGAGCTTGACGAGGTTGTCCTTGCCACCAGAGATGAAACCAAACTCCGTTGCCTGCAGGCAATACACGCCGCCCACGTGCGCATCCTCAATGCGCCGCTCAACCTGAAAACAACGCAGGGGCAGAAGAAAAGACGTGCAAACCAGGTGGCAAAACAAGGCATTGGTTACAACGTGGAGCTGAATTGTCTGGACGAAATTTGGATGTCGCCGCCAATCATGGCGCTCCAATCCCCCACATTCACACACACACACACACACACACAAACACACACATACACACAACATACAAACACACACACACACGCAACATGCAAACACAGTTGGTCATCAACGCACGTTGTATGTTGGGACTGGCCGTTTCCACACGAGAATGCTCCCGTTTGAATCACCCGTGATCGTCCGCCCGCTCGGCGCAAACATCACAGCAAGCACAGCCTGATGCATGCGTGTGAGCGTGGTGGATGTGCGCGCGCACGTGTAAGTGAGTGGCGCGGATACAAGCAAAATGCATGGGCTGGTGCGTGCACGCATGAGCAGAGACGGGTGTATGTCACTGACACGGTCATATCATCACCACTAACTACACACACGCACATGCACATGAACACACACACATGTACACACACATGTACACACACACACACAAACTCATACACACATACATGTGCACACACACACACACAACCATCCTCATCTCTGCTCACCTTTGGTCGTGGGTGTGGCTGGTACAGTGCTGGTCGCTTCGTCAGCGTGACGCGGGCGATGCCTGGCGAAGGCGGACTGTCTTGTTGTGTCGATGATGTTGATGACGACAACAGCAACGACGACGACGATGGTGGTGGTGGTGCACCTGGTGTCGTCGTTGTTGGGGCTGTTGTCGTTGTAGCTTGCGCCGTGGCTGTAGGTGGTTTGTTGTGGCGTGTTGTGGTACGATGCGATGGGTGAGGGTAGGTGGTCGATGGGTTGGGTTCTTTGGTGTGCAGGTGTTCCCCATATAAAACAGGCTGTGAAACAAATACGCATTGCACACATACACACACACTCAGACACACACACACACTCAGACACACACACACACACACACACAGACACACACGAAACACACACACACGAAACACACACACACACACACTCAAACACACACACACACACACTCTCTCTCACTCACACACACACGCACAATTTGTTTGGGTCTGACCGATGTTCCAGAATGTGAGGGCGTTCTTGCCAGCGGTGACGAGCGTCGGCATACGCGGGTTGAACGCAAGCGTGAAGATGGGCTCAGGGTGGATGGCCTGCAGGTGGCATGGGGGGGGGGAGGCGAGGCGGTGGTGGAAGCGAATGTATGGCGAGTGGAGGGTCATTGAGGAGACAGGAGGCGTGAACGTGAGGTGCAGGAACATGTACAGTGTTCAAGGGGTATACATCGTCCACTCATCAGCACACACAGACACACAAACACACACACAAACACACACACACACACAGACACAGACACAGACACACAAACACACACACTCACAGACACGCACAGACACAGATACATAGACACAGACACACACAGACACAGACACAGACACAGACACACATACACACACACACACACACACACACACACACACACACACACACACACACACACACACACACACACACCTTTGCCTCAGCGAGCGGGGTGCCTGATCGCCAGTTCCAGATGATGAGGTGTTGCATGCCCCCATCTGACTCGTGCACGCTGGCCAAGACATCCGGTTCAAAGGAGGAGAATGCCAGACACGTGACCGCGTCGCCGAGTTGGTTGTCGCCACCCAGCACACGCACCGTCTCCAGGGATGACCCGCTCCACAGCCGGATGTGCGCCTGGGGGGGGGGAGCAGATGTGAGGTGAGCAGGGTAGGAGAACTTAAAGGGACAAGGAGTTGATAGTCGTTGTTTGTCTGTGCACTTGCGTGTGTGTGTGTGTGTGTGTGTGTGTGTGTGTGTGTATGTGTGTGTGTGTGTGTGTCAAAAACCGAGCGAGTGAATGAAACGATGAGACACGTGTGTGTTGATGGTTCGCTCACAGCAGATGCGCGGGTGAGTCCGCTTTTCTGTCCAGTGGCAACGACGTCCTCCTGGGGATGCACAGTCAGACTGCACACATGCGCACATGCACACGCACGCAGCAGGGGCAGTGGGAAGTGCTGTGAGTAACAAGTACCTACAGCTGAAGGCGAGCCAACCACTCAGGATACCGACCAACCCATGCACACAGGCACACAAGCGCGCAAGAACACACACACACACACATACACATGCACACACATACACACACATTCACATTAACATTCACATACAGATGCAGACACACACACACACACAGACACACAGACACACACACACACACACACCATCTGATTTCCTGGTTGTGGCCGATGTAGTAGCGTTGCTTTCCCGTCGCCGCATCCAGCACAACACCAAGACTCGCCACGTTGTAAGTGAGGTGCAGGGTGCTGCTGCTGGCGTTGTCACCACCCTGGATATAGTGCAGGTTGTTGCGACACCGCCGCCCCTGATATCCGTACACGCGCTCCAGCTCAACCTTCTCCGTGGGCATGCGTAGGTCGTCCTCTGTGAAGATGGGGGGGGGGACAGGGGGCATGCATGTGGTGAGAATCGTGTTTTTCCTTGGAGGTGTGGTGTTGCTTCTGATGTGGGCACTTGGCGTGATGTGTTGCTGTGTGTGTGTGTGTGTGTGTGTGTGTGTGTGTGTGTGTGTGTGTGTGTGTGTGTGTGTGTGTGTGTGTGTGTGTGTGTGTGTGTGTGTGTGTGTGTGTGTGTGTGTGTGTGTGTGTGTTGTCACCATCAGGGTGCGCGTGTAATTTGTCCACATCCCCCGTGCTCACCATTGTGCTGGTAATTTGCCGGCCCAACTATGGCACTGTCCACTCCATAAGCGGAGATGGTGAAAACGGGCTGTGCAGGCGGCAAAGGAATGAAGGGAGGAGGAGGTGGTGGTGGTGGTGTGTGTGTGATGCAGTGAATCATACAGTGAGTGAGTAATGAAGTGAACGATGCAGTGAAAGATACAGGCAGCAGCACAAAGGCATCACGACAGCCACCACCATTATCACTATCACCATTGCGCACCTGTCCCGTGATTGAGTTTTGATCGAGCGGTCGCACGAGTGATTCGTCGTGCGAAACGCTGCGGGTGGAACTCCGCCGCGATAACGCCTGCACCACGCGGCAGTCGCAGCAGCAGTGAGAGTGTGTTGACGCGCGTGCGTGTGCTTGTTCAAGCACTTTGCATGCAGGCATGCATGCATGCAAACACACACACACACACAGACACGACACACATACACACACACACGCGACAAAAGCACTGCACCCTTACAGATTCGTGTGCGTCCGTGCTGCAGAAAGCTGTCGTAGCCGTGTGGTGGTGACAACGCAGGGCGACTTCGTGTGAGCAGTGACTTCTTTGTTGCTGAGGACATTGTTTGTGCGTCCACCCACTTTCACGTTGGCCATGACGCCCCACTGCATCATCACCACCCACCACCACCAACAACACGCAGGCACAACAACTCACATCCGCGGCGCTCGAGGGTGCCTGCTGCGGTGTGTCTTCGTCGGAGCTGACGGCGAGAGCCTTTGGCCAGTTTAGAGAGAGGAAGCGTGATTGAGGAGTGGAGGAAAATAGGGGCGGAGATGGGGCAGGGAGGTTGGCATTCAACAAGGACAGTAGAGGCATAGTGTCACCCAACACAACACGCAAGGCCAAGTGCACGGCTCACAACGACAACACGCAACTTGTATACACGCATGCACACACGCATGTACACCTACACACACAGACACACAGACACACAGACACACAGACACAGACACCCCTGCACAGCTACACAGACACACAGACACAGCTACACAGACACCCCTGCACAGCTACGCAGACACACGCGAATGCACCTCGTCTGCTTTCTGGTGCGGATGGGGTTGGCCCTGCGGTGAGGGGTGGCAGGGATGCGCCCGATGTGCCGAGGAGCGTTGCTGTGGAGGATGGGGTGGACTGCAGCGGCGCCTGCTGGCTCTCCACGACCTTGAGTCTGAAGGAGAGCTCCTCCACCTGGTCTGTCAGCAGCGCAATGTGCTTGTTCCTGTCCTCCACCGTCTGCTCCAGCTGTTCCACACGCTCCTGCATGCGATCATGTCGCTCTGCCCACTGTTTTGCCAGCGCGTCCAACCGTTGAAGCATGGCCTCCTCCTTTGCCTTGCTCCCTCCGTACCGCCAGCCAGACATGATGCTGCTCACTCTGGGCGTACCAGCGTCTGGGCTGCGCTGCGTTTCACCAACAACTCCACTGCGGTGCCGCACTCGCGCACAGAACTCACTCCAAGCGTCACTGCACTGCTGGTGTCGTGTGTTTTGTGCGCATGCACTCAGCCCCTTTGCTTTTGTTGCTGCTGTTGTTGTTGTTCGCCACCGCCTTCGCGACCTTCAACGGGTGGCGAAAATTTCGAAACAATGCCTCTCACTTTTCTTTGATTTCATGCACAGCTAACACGGTGTTTTTGAGGAGGAGCTTCAAGGATGGGCGGAGTGGAGTGGAGTGCTTGGAGGAGGAGGAGGAAGAAGCAAAGATGCCGAAGAAGGGAAGATGCGCGGGTGAACGACTGCAGGACTGCTTGCTGTTGGTCTGTTGGTGAACGTGACACACTGGTCCACTGCATGGTTAGGGAGGGAGGGAGGGATAAGCAACAGAACAAGGGTGGCTGGGGTGGGGAGGAGAGATGAATGCAAAGGCACAGACCAGCAGCAGTCCGCACAAGAGAGAAAAAGAGAAGAGAACAACGGAACAAACAGGACCAGGCAATCCTCTCGCTCTTTGCGCTCTCGTGTGTTCCTTCCTTCAGTCCTTCAGTTGTAGTGGTCCTGCAACAGGTGGCGCTTTTCAGCGTTGACAGACCGGCCAGGGCTGGAAGGGGCGCCCCCAAACTGTGCTCGCGTTGTATGTGTGTGTTCGTGTGTTTGTGTTTGTGTGTTTGTGTGTGTGTGTGTGTGCGCGCGTGTGTGTGTGTGTGTGTGTGTGTGTGTGTGTGTGTGTGTGTGTGTGTGTGTGTGTGTGTGTGTGTGTGTGTGTGTGTGTGAGCAGTCGGTGTCAGAGGGTAAGATCTGAAGCTCTCCGGTTGCAATGAAACAAGCAGGGGAAGGAGCGAGCCAAACAGCTTCAGCAAGCATGGCTTTGTTCCCTGCTGTTGTTTTTTCCCCTTTACGTCTTTACGTACCCCTGCGAGCACGCGAATGGCGATGGACCAGAGTAGGATTGTGGCCGTCTTGTTCACGCGCCACCATACGTTGTATGGGTCCGCAAGCTAAAGACGATGAAGTGTGCATTGCATGAGCATGGGTATGTTGACAAATAGAAAAAGCCACGTTCGAACGCACAAACAAGCACATGCGCGAGTGCGCGCACTCACTTACTCGCTCACTCGCTCACACTTCCACGCCACAACGCACATCATTGAGGGGAATGCCGTAGTTGTTGGCCAGGCCCATGGAGATGGTGGCGAGCGCGCTGACATGTGTGGCGGCACCAAGGAACCTGTGGAACAACACCATGCGCTGAAGGAGGAGTGCCACGTGTGTGTGTTGTGGGGATGAGTGTCTGAGCAAGACAGCGTGTGTTGATGACCTCAGGATTTGCTTCTGAACGTCAACTCGTCAAAGCAACGAACGGTCCAAGAAGCCTTGCGGCAAGAACCAATTGCTACACGCAACTTGTTCGCCCACACACCTTCTTCCATGCCTCATTGCGGCTCCAGTAGAAGGCAAAGGCGCCAAGCAGAAGCTGCAGGCACATGAGAGTGGCCGCTGTATGATTGGCGTTGTGTGTATGAAGTCGTGATTGTGTGGTTAGCGTGAGCGAAGAGATGGCTCGATGGCTTGTTTCATTCAACGCTTTTCCCAACATTGCCATTGCACACAGTCACACGACACGCACACACACACACACACAGACACAGTCACAGACACAAACACAGACACAGATACACAGTCACACGACACAGACACACACACACACACAGACACATACACAGACACATACACAGACACAGACACAGACACACACATGCGACACTTACTGCCGAAACCCAGCCAAGAGTGCTGGCTGGCCATGTGCTTTTCCTTCTTTTGTTGGTGGTTGATGAAAACCTGAGGGAAGGACGAATGAGAAATGAGCATGGTGCGCGTGAGTAAGTTGCAGTAGTGCTGAGCAGAGAGCTACAGGTGGTGAGGTGTGAGGGCAGGGACAGTAAACAAACCCAACAACAGTTCATCCTCCCTCACAACAACACACCCAGCACATGCACGCATTTCACGCAGCACTCATCATTGCACGCACGATGGCAATGCCGGAGACGGAGAAGGAAAACGAGAGGAAGTTCATCAGCGCGTGGTAGGTCTGGGACAAGCGCGTGATCGAGCAGAGACGTGTGTGTGTGTATGTGTGTGTGTGTGCGTGTGTTTGGAGCGTTGTGCAATGAGGGCATAGCGTGCACGCTCAAAACAACAGCTTGCAAGCAAGCAAGCAGGCGCAAGGCATTGCAACAGCACGCACTGCGTCTCACCTTCCGTCCCTTGTGCCCCCATGAGCCGGGGCTCCGGAAGGACATCGCGGCTGCAGATGGAATCAAGTTGGGAGGAGCGGGCAACAAAGGTGAATTACAAGCTTACAGGACAGGTAAGGTGTGGTGGCAGCGTGCTGTTGCGGGCACACGGCCAGTCCATGTAGGGGGAGACGACAAGGCAGATGCAGACAGAAAGACAGAAAGACAGACAGACAGACAGACGCACACACCACGATCTAACACAGATGAGCAGATGCACCACAGTCTATGAGACGAGACGGCAAGGCAGATGCAGACAGGGCACACACACACACATACATACACACACACATACACACACACACATCAGTGCTCACCCTCGGTGGCGCAGAATGCCCAAGCGATTGACATGAACAGAGGGTGGAAGTTGAAGGAAATGCCTGCGAAGATACAGTGGAACTTCAACGTGAGGGGCACTGGTTTTGAAGGGTTTCAACGGGTTCATCACAGCCACGCTCATAACTCCACTCCACCGCAGTCCTGTGGCACCTTTGAGAGCCACAAATGCTCATAGGAACATTGGCACATACGAGCATGCATACTGACTTGCTCCGCCAGCACCGTGAAATCCCTGTGGCATCCAGTGAATGAGGAAGCCCAGCACAACAAAGTAGCCAACGTACTGGTGGGGGGGGGAGCAGACAAAAACGTGGAATGAGACACACACTACACACAAGCACGTGTTGCTTGGCCCCACTTCAAGCAACTCGGTCGAAATGCAAACAAGCAAACACAAAGCAAACAAAGCAAGCAAAGCAAGAAAGCAAACAGTGTTCGCTGCCTCGCTGCAGAAAACCATCAAGCGACTCACGAGAAGGCGAACGAAGACGGCATTGTACACCTGACGTCCTCGCGTGCCCACGCCTACATAAGTCAGAAGAAAACACGATGTTGTTGTTTCGTTCTGTGTCAAGACGAAGAAAGAGTCTCGCGCAGGGATGTAGGCACTTCAGATCACATGAAGAAAAGAAGAAACAGACATGCAAACATGCACACAACTCAACAGCAGAGAAAAGCCCACTCCCCCAACACACACACACACATACACACATAGCAAACACTCACCAACGTAGTACAGCTCCAGGACGGTGAGCAGCGCAGCGGCCGCGATCGTGCCCATGAACAGGCCAGCCGTGGACCAGTCGCTCATCTTGGCTGTTGTGTTGTTGTTGTTTTGGTTGGAGGAAGCAGTTCTGTGTGGCTGGTTGTCCTTCCTGACGCTGGATGATGCCATGCACGTTCGTTGTGCTTGCAGGCACCTTCCACACACAAGCGAACGCTTACTTCAACATCGAATTATTCAACAACAGTGATATTTTGAACGCCGTTTCTTTTGAACAGGCACTCTTTGACACAAAAGACGGTGGACCATCATGGTGGGGTGGAGTCGACTGGTGCAGCTGACGGCGTTGGATGGCGGGGCCACGCGCGTGCTGCTGTGGACAGCAGGTGCCGCGGTGGCAGCAGCCCTCGGCACCTTTCTCACACGCCGTGTCACTGATGCCATAAAGGAGGAAGTCAGCGAGGGCGACCCTCTCGTCGCAGGTGCGCTTGTCAATGTGTGATGCTGTTGCATGCGTGCGTGATTGTGGCGCTCAGTGTGAATGCATGCGTGCGTGATTGTGGCACTCAGTGAGCGTGCATGCGTGCGTGGTTGTGGCGCTCAATCCAACGTGGTACTTCCTCAGTCATCGCAAGTGTGCGCGAGTGGAGAAGGTGATATGTCGTTTTGTTGCCGTTGCTTGCACTCACATCCACTGTCGGACACATGACCAGATTTACCGCTGTGGGTGTTCAAGGACATCCTCAAGCGCGGCACGCCACAACAGCAGCAGGCTGCTTTGCGCGTGGTGATGCACCGCATCAACATGCCCGACACGCTGGAGGCGCTTGTCGAGCGCATACAGAGCCCCGACCAGGAGGAGCGCCTGCACGCCGCGCAGGTGATCAATGGGTGCCTCAACATGAAGAACATGGACATGCCGCTGGAGCGGTACGGGGTGGTGGAGAACATCTACCAGCGCGTCGTCGCTTCTCTCGAAGGCGGGCACCCCGAGGAGCTCGTGTACATGATGGAACCCTTGTTCGAGCTGGCGCTCCGCACCAGGGCCACCCGTAGGTACCTTTTGAGCCGCGACGTGCTCCTGCTCACGGAACAGGTGCTGCAGCAGCCAGACCGCTTTGGGATGCCCGCCGTGCGCGCCAGCATTGCCCTCATGCACACACTCATCACGCAGGAGGTGTCTGTGGCCCGCAAGCGCGTGCGCCTGAGCACCTTCAGCGCGCTCATGTCCGCGTCCTTGCTGTGCATCACCACCTCGGCTACCCTCAAGCTGTGCGTGCACATGCTCGTGCTGCTTGGCGTCAACATGCCCGTGGTTGCCGAGGGCGGCAGAACCACCACCCCGGCCTCGCTCTTCACTGAGGAGTACGTGCATTACAGCGCGCAGTGGATGCTGGCATCGGACCGCGTGCTTCGTTACTGGACCCTCGGCCTGGTCTACGACATGGTTCGCAAAGGTGCGCACAGCTGTGTGTGTGTGTGGAAGTACGTGCATGTGTGTGTGTGTGTGTGGAAGTACGTGTATGTGTGTGTGTGTGTGTGTGCCAGTATGTGTGTGTGCGAGTATGTGCGTGTGTGTGTGTGTGTGTGTGTGTGTGTGTGTGTGTGTGTGTGTGTGTGTGTGTGTGTGTGTGTGTGTGTGTGTGTGTGTGTGTGTGTGTACCGTTTTGCTTCTTTGAGTGTGCCGCGACCTTGCATCCTATGACCACCACCACCACCACCACCACCACCTCATCCCCACTTGTCCCCCCCTCACTTATCTTTGCGTGCCACTTCCCGCCATCGCCATCGCCAGAGCGGCTGCGAGATGTGCTGCGAATAACACCGCGCATCCTCATGGCGGTGCACAACATCCTCTCCACCTTTGAGGCCGGCGTGCAGGAGATTGCACTTCGGGTGCTCGGCTCCCTCTCCGCCCGCAACGACGCTTTCAAAGTGAAGCTTGCGCACCACAACGTCATGACGCGGCTGGTCATGTGCCTTGCGTCAAACAACGCCGACGTTGTGCACTGGGCTATCGTTCTCATCCACGATATTGCCATGCTCGGCGACGACACATTCTCAGCCCTCATCAAGACACCAGGTGCTTGTGTGTGTCGTGTGTGTGTGTCGCGTGCTGTGTCGTGTGTGTTATGTGTGTGTGTCATGTGTGTGTCGTGTGTGTGGTGGGCTGTGTAAGTGCGTGTTTGAACGTGCGTGGATGTTTGCGTCTGTTTGAGCGTACGTGTGTGCGCATGAGGTGTTGCAGATGCGTGAGGTCTTGTGCAAGCGTGTGATGGAGAGCTCGTGCAAGTGTGTGTGTGTGTGTGTGTGTGTTTGTGTGTGTGTGTGTGTGTGTGTGTGTGTGTGTGCCACGTCACAAATCTCCCCCTCCCTGCATCACCACCTCTCCCTTGTGCCAGGCCTGCTGCGCGGGCTGCGGCGGTGTGTTGGGCAGCAGCGGCACGACAACCACCGCCTGGTGCTGGAGACGGTTGGCTTCCTCTGCGCCAACGAGGACACTCTTGACCAGTGCGTCGACGCCGGCGTTGTTGAGGTGCGAAGCCACATATGGTGATGATGGTGGTGGTGGTGGTGTGGTGGTGGTGTGGTGGGGGTGGTGAGCTTGCCTTAATGGTGAGAAGATCTGCCTGTGAAGTGGTGGTCACGAAGGATACTTTACAGTTGAATGTGCTTGTATGGTAAATGTGCTTGTATGGTAAATGCTTCTCAGTTTCAATGCGCTCTCAAGTGCGCGTGCTTCGAGGCGAATACCCTTTTGCCCCCCCCCCCCGACTCACCAACCCGTACACATACACCCTTCCTCCTTGCTCCCACCACCTCACCACCCCCTTCCACCAAACGATTTTGACCACGGGTGTGTGGCAGATTGTGGCTGCGCTTGAGCGGGAGCGGGATGATGCGTCGCAGTACTGGTACGTCGGGCTCGCCGTTACCCTCGTTGTCTCGGACAAGGCGCGACAAGCACTTCTCAAAACAGGTCAGTGGTTGTTGGTGTTGTGTTTGTGAGTGAGTGAGTGAGTGAGCGAGTGAGTGAGTGAGTGAGTGAGTGAGTGAGCGAGTGAGTGAGTGAGTGGGTGAGCGAGTGAGTGAGTGAGTGAGAGTGGGTGAGAGTGAGAGTGAGTGCACTGCTGCAATTCTCACATGCATGGCTCATCGTCCGCCTACCCCTGCTTCATCTTCTTCATTCTTCCTTCCCTCTCATCCATCACAGGCTGCGTGAAACACCTGATCGACCTTGCCCTAAACTCCAAGAACGAAAACGTGAGGCCGGAAGGATTACTGCTTCCGCACGCAGCACAGTTATCGACACACGCACACAGGCACACAGACACACACACACACACACGCACACAGGCACACAGACACACACGCACCCAGGCACACTCACACACACACACACACAGACACACACGCACCCAGGCACACTCCCACACACCACACACAGACGCACCCAGGCACACTCACACACACACACACACACAGACGCACCCAGGCACACTCATACACACACACACACACACACACACACACACACACACACACGCCGTGCGCCCATATCTCTGTTTCTCTCGCTTCTGTTCATCAAATGATTTCCGCCACTCAACACTCTGCAGGTGCCGCCAATCGCTGTGCGTGTGCTCACACCGCTAATGTTTGATGATGTTGGGGTTGTTAATGAGACAACACACGGGCTCGCACAACCCCTGGTGCAACTGGTTGCGGCAAACGAGGGGAACACACACCGCTACCTGGCCCTGCTGGAGGTGCTCGCGCGCCACGATGCCTGCAAGCAATTTATCGTGCGCTGGCCGCGTGCGATTGAGACCATGCTCTCCCTCATCTGGCGAGTCATCTCGCTCGACCCAGCGTGCATGGACACGGAGCCAACAGCGGTGGCGGAGTGCGTTGCGTCTGCGCGCATCCTCAGCGTGGCCACACAACACCACCCCTCCATCGAAACGCTTGCGCACAAGGGCACGGACCGCGTACTGTCGGTACTGCTGTGCTCGATTATTCGTCGCCTGCTTGCTGCACGGCAAAAGGCGGCAACAGCAGCAGCAAGAGAGGCAGCAGCTGCCACCGGTCTGCCAAACGGCAGTGGTGATGGTCATGGTGGTGGTCATGGTGGTGGTGGTGGTAATCGTCGTCGCGGTGCCGATGGTGACAAGGAGAGTGGCAGTGGCGGCGGTGGAGCGTTGTGGCACATCGTGTACGGCAACACGAGTGATGGCGATGATGACGGCAGCACCACAAGTGGGACTGGTGATGACGATGATGACGATGATGGTGATGACGGCGATAATGGTGGGAGCACAGACGGCGGCAATGCTGATGCACATGAAGTTGGTGATCGTGGCGGTGGCAGGAGGAGACGTGCTGGTCCACGAGCACAGCAGCGTCGCCTCAAGGCCGTTGGGGGCGATGCCCGTGGACACGCTGTGAATGCCTCGCCAGTTGTGTTGCATCCAGGCGACAGCAGTGATGGTGGGAGTGATGCTGAACACATGATGGCCATTGTTGGTGCCATGACATCAACACCAGCACAGCCACTTGCACCTGCTGGCACATCCACACCGTACTCAGCAGCAGCAGCACGAGCAACAGCACAACAACAACAACAACAACAGCAGCAGCAACACCAGCAGCACGTGCGTGTGTCTGTGACGCCGCGGCTGTTTGAGAAAATGTCGGCCACGGCGGCGGCGCTGGCAGCACAGCGACAACGCGCACGCGAGCGCCTGCACCACCCGCGAATGCTTGCAGGCACGGAGGGTGCCCACACACGACACACAACTGCTGCTGCTGCTGCTGTTGCTTCGTCCCACAACGCGCTGACCTACCCTGAACACGCGCGTGTGGACAGTGGTGGTGATGGTGGGGAGCGGCGGAGGAGGCGTGCTGTTCGGCGACAACTTGTCACACACGACGACGACGATGGTGGTGGTGGTGGTGGTGGTGGTGGTGATGATGATGGTCATGCTAGCAAGGGTGGTCATGGTGAGAATGGAGCGCCTACAACTACACCAACAGCAACAGCAACAGGGGTTGGAGCAGCAAGTACAGCAGCAACGCCGACAGCTACAGCAGCAACGACACAGTTGTCATCTGATGCCATGTTTGAGGTGTCTGGCATCCATTTGTTGGAGGACGCGCACGAGCCCACGCACGAGGATGAGAGCACGCCTCATGCTGGCGATGGGCGTGGTCATGATGGACGTGGTGAATGCATGCAGGCAAGGGATCAAGGAGAGCGTGGTGATGGTGAACTGGACCTGAGCGCCGTTTCACCTCTGCTACAGGTGAATCAACCTGGCTGTTGTGGTTCATGACATCCACGAGCACATGCACCTGCACTCTATCTCTGCATGTGCGCGCGTGCTCTGTTTGTGTGTGTGTGTGTGTGTGTGCATGTTTGTCGTCGAAACGAAATCACAGTCTGCATCACGCAATCACAGTCTGCGTCACACGCTCCTCCTCCTCCTCCTCCTCCTCCTCCTGCTCTCACTGTCTCCCTCTCGTGCTATCCTCCTCCTCCTCCTCCTCGTTCTGCAGCCTGGATCGCTGACACCACCGTCGTCACCGTCCATGCTCGAGCGCGTGCCGAGCAGCACGCCCAAGCGCGACCGCACCACGTCGTCATCATCAACCGCAACGCTCACTGCTCCAGCACGCACAGCACAGGACGGCCCTGCCATCGAGGAGGTGGCCGGCAGCAATGGGCGCGGTGCTGAGACCACAATGCAACAGCAACAACGCGACACAACTGACCAGCAGCAGCATGAACAGCAGCATCTTGATCAGCGGCAAGAGCACGAACAGCAAGAAATGCAGCAGCAAGATCAGCGAGAGCAGCCCCAACACCTTCTACAGCAGCAACGACAGCAGCAGAGGTTTCAGCGGGCGCGCGCACTGCTGACTGGCGTCAACACGGGCTCCCTGCCGCTACATCTCAACCACATTGGCAGGGACGACGAAGGCGACGCAGGCGACGTGTTTGTCAGCCCACCATCACCCTCAGCAACAGCACCACTGGCAAGGACAGCAACAGCGAGCACACACGCCGTTGGCAGGCGAGACGATCTCCACCATCAACAACATCCACACCATCAACAGCAACAGCATCAACATCAGCAGCAGCTGCAGCGGCAGCTACAGCGGGTCGACGGCGGCGCTGTGCACGTGTGCGGTGGTGATGCGCGTGGTGGTGATGGCCACGGCACTGCAGTGTGGGCTGGTCGCGGTGGCCCTGTTCCCTGGTCACCCAACTCTCGACGTCGCACGTCGCTCGGGCGGCGACAAGTGTCCTCCCCAGTCCTCATGCGCAGCACCCCGCTCTCCCACTCCGCACGCACCGCCACCACTGCTTCACCCACTACCAGTGCTGCCACCGCTGCTTCTGCCACCGCTGTTGCGACGTCGCGCAGTCTGCAGCCATCGCCGCGTGTGTTCACGCCGCCGCTGTACGAGCGCGGTCGCATTGGTGCCCACGGCGCTGGTGGTACTGCGACCATCGGCCATCACGCTACTACTGGCGGCAACAGTGGTGGTGGCGGTAGTGGTGGTGGTGGTGGCGGCGGTGGTGTTTCTCATGGTGGATCGCGTGTTGTTCGCCGCCGCAGTGAGGGCTGGTTCTCGCACGGCGCAGACCTGGTGCGGCAGGACCACCACTGGGACTCCTTCAGGCTCACACGTGAGTTTGGTGGCGCTGGTGCAGTGCGTGTGTATGTGTTTGTTTGGCACAGCTGTGCGTTTGCGTGCTTGTTTGCGTGCTTGTTTGTGTGCTTGTTTGTGTGATTTATGTTCTCTTTGAGATCTCGTCACTCGCCGCCTTTCTTCCTCCCTCTCCTTTCCCCTCCTTTCCTCCCTCATCCGTACCCCTTATCCCTTCTTCCCCTGCCCCTGCACCTGTTTCATCATCATCATCATCATCATCATCACCATCACCAGAGCGGCGTGAGGGTCGGCTTGTGTCGACACCGTCGCACACGCGTGCGGAGACAGATCGCCTGTGCGCCCGCCCACCCCGCTCCCAGTCCACAACAGCTGACCTGCGCTCGCCACACCACGGCTATTACTACGACTACGACCAGGAGCACGAGGCTGCTGACGGTGATGGCGGTGGTGGTGGTGGTGGTATGGGTCCTGGGTACGGCCGTGTGAGGCGACGTGGTGTTGTCAGAAGCATGAGCACTACGCTTCCCGCAGCACCTTCGTCATCGTCGCCAGCGTCATTCACCCCTCCACTGCAACAGCAACAGCAACAGCAACAAGAACAGCAAGACCAGCAGCCTTCATCTCGCGCGCTTCCGCGTACGGTGTCTGCATCTGCCATCCACGAGTACGAGCACGATGTTAGAGGAGGACGGAGCAGCAGTGCGAGCAATCGTGGACGGAGGGTGAGCGGTTCACACGCACACGCGCACGGGCACGGGCATTCGCACCATCGCATTCGCCACGCGTCGCTTCAGTCCTCTGCTGCCGACCTGTTGCTATCGCCCTCGTCACAGCTGCACCTCTTGCAGCGGGATGGCGTTGCGCTCAATGACGAGCAGCACCCCTCCATGCTGCCCATTGGCAGGCCTGGTGCTTATGATACGCCCGCTGTTGCACCGTCGCATTCGCAGACCAGCACACAATCGTCATCCGGGACGTCTGGCGGACACGCACAGCCGCAATCACACGCACACGCACAACCACAACCACACGCACAACAGCACACGCATGTGCACACAGCACCGCACCTGCAGCGCCGGAGCAGCCGTGCACACTCGCCGTCACCGCTGGCAAGTCGGGTGTCGTCTGCCCTCGATGATGACGGTGCAAGGACGCCGCCACCGCAGCTGCTGAGCAGGGCGACGAGCTGGAGTGGGGCCGCCATTGCACAGCAGGTGTCACAGCGGTTGCAACAGCAGCAACAGCAGCAGCGGCATCAACATCAGTACGGGCATGTGCATTTGCAGCCGCCACGTGAACGGCCCCAGCCGCAGCGTCGTACGATGTCGTCTTCAACATCGTTGCCACTGCATTCTGCACGCGCGGACGCACAGCACCGCCACCACCGGCCGCACCTCAGTCGCCTGGCGTCCACAAGCACCCCTGCATTTGCCAACCGTGACAGTGACAACGGCGGTGGTGATGGTGGCGGTGGTGATGGTGGCGGTGGTAATGATGATGCCCGACATGGTGGTACACAGCAGCAACAGCAGCAGCAACAGCAGCAGCAGCAACAGCAGCAACAGCAACAGCAACAGCAGCAGCACGGCAAGCGGCCGCCACCACCGCTTGCGTTGCTCGCTGCTGATGCCGTCAAGCCATCTCGGAGCATGTCGGCTCCCATGGCCACACCACAACAGCATCGCCAACCACAACAGCAACAGCAGCAGCCACAGCAACCCGAACAACAGCAGCAGGAGCAGAAGCAGGACCAGGGTCGTGATGACGGCGTGCGTGCACTCGTGCCTGCCAGCACTCCGCGCGCTGATCGAACACGCAGCCTGACAACGATGCCGCAATCATCATCGCCATTGATGTCGCTTGCGCGACACAAGTCGCGCGCTGCCACAACAGCGCCGTCAACCCCGGCATCGTCATCAGGCCGGGGTACAGCCACCACTGCATGCAGATCTGTCCGCAAATCGGCAACACGGCAGCTGCGTCGGGCGGCGGCTGTTGCCGTCTCCCCGCGAATTGGTGGCGCATTTGACTTTCCGCCGCACCGTGGTGAGGACGCGGGGTGGCGGCACGCACTGCAACAACAGCAACAGCAACAACAGCAACGGCGAAGGCAGTCGAAGCAGCGCAGTACACGGACATCCCAGTGTGCCCCCGAGGGACAGGCAGTCACGCAAGTAAGCGGAAGACCAGAGGCAGACAATGCCTACGAAGGGGAGGGGATTGGGGTGCGGGCAGCACATGGCGGTGATGGAGACGGCAGCAGGGCAGTGGATGACAGCTTTGCAGCGCGTGTGGATGTTTCTTCGCACGGCCACCCTGTTCTCCACCACAGCCGCAGTTACGACGAGGACAGGCCATATGGGGCGCCTCGCAACGCTGGTGTTCGTGCTGGCGATGGCAGTGGTGGTGGTGGCATTGGCGGTGATCGCGATGCTCGCCGTCGCGTGTTTGATGATCAGCCACCGCTGTACAGGCAGATGTCGGCGCCTGTCACATCTTTCACTTCAACCTCCACCTCTGCAACCACCACGACCGCCACGACCACCTCATCCACGTCATCCGCGCCGACAGCGGTGTCTGGACCGACGACAGGCACCCCCTCCCGCACAACGCCAATCGCCAGCACTACTGTGCAGCGGCGCCGCGCTGCCACGGCATCAGCAGCAACGGCAGTGACACCGATGGTGCCGCAGCCTGTCACGCCTGTTTCCCGGACACCGAGCGGCACATCGTTCCGGGGCCGTTCGCACTCGCACCGTGATGAGCTGACGTCAGCACTTCTCTCCATTGCCGGCCCGCGCTCAGAGGAGGAGCTCATGTGAGTGCACACATGTGAAGGGGCGTGGTCGTTTTGTGTGTGTGTGTGTGTGTGCGTGTGTGTGTGTGTGTGTGTGCTTGGTGGGGGCGGAGAAGAGACAGGTGTTGGAAAAGGATGATGTGCTGTTTGTGGTATCTGCATCTCAGCTCGTGTCCACACTGAAAATACCACGCACACACACACACACACACACACAACAACAACAACAACAACAACAACACACACGCACACACACACACATACACACACATACACACGCACACACACATACACACACATACACACACGCACACACACGCACACATACACACACACACACGCACACGCACACACACACGCACAACACACGCACGCAACACACAGCCATTCCATGCAGGGTGCACCCAGCAGCGACTTGAGCGGCAGTGATGGCGTGCCTCCATCCACACCACTGCTGACAATGGCCAATTCTCCCTCGGCGTTTTCGCTGTCCACGTTTGAGTGGACGAGCCTGGATGACACGACGCCTGCCGACGATGACAGTCGCGAGGGCAGGGAGGACCAGGAGGAGGACTACGAAGCGCTCGCCAGCGAAATGCTGCGATGGTCCTCCCAAGAGGATGATGGGTCCGCCTTTCCAGAGGACAACGGCGACAACGGCAGTGGCGGCGATGCGCATACAAGGCAGCGACGGCGCCGAAGGAGAAGGCGAAAGAGAAGGGAACAAGGGGAGGGACCACCCGAAGAACAACAGACCCGAGCATACGCTCCAAGTGATGGCGATGATGACGATGACGACGACGACGGTGACGGGGGTGATGGTGGGGATGATGATGGTGCTGATGATGATGATGATGATGATTACGATGAGAGTGAGCGCCATGGTGATGGTGATGCTGGTCGCGACAACCAAGCCAACGCAAGCCACGGCATTGCTGGTCGTGCTGGCGATGATCACAATACTCCTCGTTCGCCAATAGGAGAGCAAAGCGAAGGACGTGTGTTGGGCGAAGCAAGTGCTGCCGGTGGGCGTGTTGTTGGTGATGATGCTGCTGCTAACAGCAACGTACAGCCAGGCAGTGGTGATTGCAACGCTGACGGTGATGGTCAGGGCGAGGACAACGATACAGCAGCAGCAGCAGCAGCTGTTGACCGCTCTGTTGATGATGTTGATGCTGATGCTGATGCTGACGCTGATGGTATTGATGGTGGTGGTCACGATGATGATGAGAGGGCGCTGGTGCCTATGCTGCGTCACGACATTTCACACCTCTCCAACATCAGTCACGGCAGCGATGATGGTGGCGAGGACGATGCTGCTGACGGTTCGATTCGATGATGCATGCATGTCTGCTGATTTCCGCCACAACACACACGCACACACACGCACACTCACACACACACACACACGTGTCCAGCTCATAACAGAACAGTTTTGGTGAGGGTTACACGCTTGCACACACATACGCAAGCGTCTACACACATACACTCACACTGGCTCATGCGCACGCACTCCCTCGTTCAATGTACAGCGTCCTCATGGGCGTACGACGCGGACCAGCAGCAGTATCTCATGAACGTCTCGGCGGACGCCAGCATGTTCGACTTGACAGAGGTACAGCCCTTCACGCGCTAATGCCATGCATCAAACACTGCTTGCTCGTGTGTCTGCACTTGATGGGCAAAGTACGATACACTTGCACACACACTTGCACACACTTGCACACCCACGCGCTTGCACAATTTATGTTTATCCTGACGATCACTGCCTGTATTGTTGTGCGCGTGTGTCAATGACAGCCGGATGATGACCTGAGCCACTTGGAGGCATCCGTTGTGGAACAACTACAGGAGCAATCAAACGTCAACGTCTCTGTGGACGTGTCGGCTCTCAGTGAGTAGCGTTCGACTGCACTGCACTGGACTTGCTTGCAAGCATCCTTGAACACAGACACAACACAGACACAACACAGACACAACACACACACACACACACACACACACACACACACAGACACACACACACACAGACACACACACACACACCATGCTTACGCGCTCGCCCCTCGTGTATTGTACATGTACTTGCTGTACATTTAGGCACTTCGCTGCACGAGACAACATCCATGGTGGAAGCCCCAATGGAGGACGATATCGAGTACGAATCGCTGCGTTTGTTCTCGATGCCTGCAGGCATATTTTCCGGCCGTGGTGTCTTCCTGTTTCCCGTCACGTGTGCGCGTGCGTCTCTCTGTTTGTTTCGCCTTTGCACTTCGTTCCTTGAACCTTGCTCACATTCAACACGCGACCGCACCGTCACCATCACAACACGACACACCACCACCAACCACTACCAACTCCAATGACACTGTGTCTGCCCTGCAACACCAGTGGGTACGTGGATGTGCTGACGCAGTTGCAGGACGCGACGATTGTTGCGCTGGCCAACATGTGCGGCGAACACGAACGGCCCTACAACACCCCCGCCGCCACCATCCTGTGGACAGCCGTCCTCACACTTCCATCCCACCTGGTGAGCTCGCTTTCTTTAATTCTGTGTGTGTGCGTGTGCGTGCGTGCATGTATGCATGAATGTGTGTGCGGGTGTGCGTGTGTGTGTGTGTGTGTGGTGTGTGTGTGTGTGTGTGCATGCGTACGCTTACGTGCGTGCAAGCGAACGTGTGTGTGTGTGTGCGTGTGCGAATTAGCGCCCAGGACATACTCACGACAAGATGGTGTCACGTCCCACATCCCAATTCAACACGCGACATCAGGTCAACTTTTATGCTGATCGCCTCGTGTGCTCAGCGGCGAGCCTGACACCGCCGTCTCGCTTCCAATCGCATGCCACCACGACACCCACCACCACCACCACCACTCAAGTTGATGACGAAGATGGTCACGGTGACGATGGAGGTGGCGTTGAGAGTGGTGTGCGTGCTATTGGTGCTGGGGACACGGATGCAGCCAGTGAAGTGGTGACAGCGCAGGCGACGCCACGAAAGATCACCGTTGATGAGTCGCCACAGTTTCACACGCGCGCGTCCACATCCCGCATCATGATGGACATTTATCGCAAGACGGTACGCGTGTTTGCGTGTTGTTGTGTTGGTGTTGGTCTGTCGTGGCGAGTGCGGTGTGGTGGCTCATCCCGTTGGAAATTATGCTGTGGGCCCAAACGTTTGTTCACTTCAACCCGCCCTCCTGTTTGTGTATCTCACCACCCCCTGCTCACTCCCCACGCCCCGTTCACTCCCCCATCTAACTTAGATGCGCAATGATTCGTGGACGTTTGAGACGGGTGTACTGCGCGTGTGTGCGCGTGGAAACGGCACGTGGTCGTTCACTGTTCGCATCGAGAGCGACGGCATCCTGCAGGTGCGTGATATGCGCGCATGTGTTTGTGTGTGTGTGTATGCTTGCATGCGAATGAATGTACTTGCACGCACGCGGTCTTGCACGCTTTTGTGCTTGCATGCGTGTGGTTTTCAACTCTTGAACTCATGATCCTTCTCCACGCACACACACACACACTCACACACGCACGCGCACACACACACACACACACACACACACACACACACACCTCGACGCCGTCTTGCTTTGCAGGTTGGCTGGGCGTGCGACAATGCTGAGCTGGATCCTATTCGTGGCCGCGGCTGTGGCGACAATCTCTCGTCGTACGCGTTTGATGGGCAGCGCGGCAAGTTCTGGCACGGCGCTGAGGGGGGCGAAGACACAACCCTCAGGTGGAGGAAAGGTGCGTTTCACGAGTACACGTGTGTGTATTTTGTGTGTGCTTCGTGTGTGAGTGCGTGTGTGTGTGTGCTTCGTGTGTGAGTGCGTGTGTGTGTGTGTGCTTCGTGTGTGAGTGCGTGCGTGTGTGTGTGTCATCAGCATGCCAATGTGTACAAATCACGTGTGGTGTTGTTACCACGTTTGCTGTATTGAGCACGTGACGTCGCTGTTTTTGACTCTTTTCTGAGTGTGACAAACTCCCTCACGATGTTGATTGCCCCCCCCCCACCAAACACACGAACATCTGTCATTTATCGTACTTCCGTATCGCCTTGCGTGTTCGCTGGGTGTGCTGCAGGTTCCACGGTGTCGTGTTGGCTGGATTTGCATGCAGGCACCATCTCGGTTTCTGTTGACGACAGCGACCGTGTTCTTGCGTTTGAAAACGTTGACACGTCCCTCGCCTGGGCGCCGTGTGTTTCCCTCGCACCGCGTCAGCAGGTGTGCAGCTGCAATTGTGTTTGATGCCTGTGATTGGTCTTGCATCCTTGTGCGTGATGGTGCGCGTGTGTCTGTGTTTTGATTGCGGGTGATTGTTAGTGCGCATAAGCTCTTCTGTTTGGTTCTTGCGTCGATGTGCTTGTCTTGTGCGATTTCGTTTGGGCCGTTTTGTCTTAATGCTGCGAATGTGTGAGGTGTGATGTGTAAGGCGTGTACGTACGTGTAGACTGCATCTAATCTCATTCATCCCTACTTGTAATTCCCATCCAACCCACCGTCTCACCCAATCCCTCTTTTCCCCATCGCAGGCCACTGTGCTGTCGTGCATGACAACGGCCTCGTGGCAACCGACCGACATGACAACACACCCGAGTTGGCAGCCCTGGCATGACTCTGACGATGGCATTCGCGTGGGCACGAGCACAAACACATGGACTGACACCACCGTGTGCGCACGCGCACCGCAAGTCCTGCTTCACCTCCACTGCAACTCAATCTCCCTGTACTTTGAGGTGTGCATGTGCATGTTTCCGTATTTGTGTGCATGTGTGTGTGTGCATGTGTGTGAGTGCGTGTGTGCGTGTTTGTGGGTGGCTGGCTGGGTCACGTGTTTGCGTTCTTCTCTCTATCAGGACGACTCTTTGCTGAACCACTTCCATCACATCGTCAAAAACCACTGATCTCATGACATCTCCCCTCTCCCTGGCCGTGTCGTGTTCTCAGGTGCCGCTGTGTGAAGCTCTCGGTGCCACCATCGGTTATCGCGACTGTGTCGACAACAGCTTGCACGCCATCTGCCACGTTGATGCGGACGGCACGCTGCACTTTGGAGCGTCACGGCACATGGGCCATGGCAGCACAAGCAGTCCCCGCGAGCCTGGCATGCACGCTGGCAGCAGCACCACCAAAAGCAAGGGGCACGGTGACGATGGTGGTGGTGATGGTGGTGATAGTGGTGCCATTGAACCGTTTGATCGACGCCGGCAACAGGAACGCGAGCAGGAACACTGTGATCCTGGCCTTGATCTGGCCATTCCCGGGCAGGAGAAGAATGATGGTGACGATGGCAACGGGCATCGTGGTGGTGGCTCGCATGGATTGCATGTCGCGCCATCTTCACTCGTAACTACGCGTACCCGCAACGGTGCGGGTGCTGCTGCTGTTACTTCACCATCGCCTCCACAACGCGGGCAACCGTCATCAACTTCAACAGCAGCAGCAACACACATTGCACATGTGCGGGCTGGCGGCGCACTGGATGTGATGTGTCGCGATGACGACGCTGTTGTTGGATTTGGGCTTCTTACTGGGGATGACATGGCTGTTGTGACGCTCAACGGACAGCTGCTCGGTACGCCCTCACGACGTGCTCTTGCAGTCTCATGTTATGTTGTGTTGTGTTGTGTTGTGTTGTGTTGTGTCCCGCTGTTGTGATTGCTCACTTTCAAGCATCACATCCTAACGAGCCCACATTCATCTCCCCTCCCCACCCGCTTCCATCTCCCCTTCTTGGTTTCCACAGATGTGGTCGAGTTGAGCCACCGCTTGTGCAAGCCCTTCCCTGCTGTGAGCCGCGCTGTTCCCATCAACGTCGGGCAGCGCCGCTTGCGCTTTGCTGTTGCCAACTCGATGATGTTTCGCCTCGCAGCCATGCGCTCCCTCATCCAGCGCGTCATCGCAGACCTCCAGTAACACTGGGTGTGTGTGTGGGGGGGGGGGGGGGGCGTGCGCGTGTGTATGGTGTGTGTGCGTGTGCGTGTATGTTGTGTGTGCATGTGCGTGTATGTTGTGTGTGCGTGTGTGCGTGTGTACGTACGTGCGTATGTTGTGTGTGTGTCTGTCTTTGTGTCTGTTGAACAACTCCTACTCTTCGCATCTCTGTGTGGCTTTCAGTTGTGGGCTACTTCAACGCTACTTGTTGTATGTCTTCTACAATCGTTTTGACAACATGTGAACGACAATGACTATGTGACAAGAAAGTGAATGAGATATGCACATGTGCACTCAACCTACAGATCTAATACAACACATTTGTCAGAGCACTCGCATGGAGCAAACAACAATAGCAGCAGTGGCGTATGTGTGTGTATGTGTGCGCGTGCACAAACGGCGACGTTTGCTCCACCAGCCTCAACGATCACAATCACCAACAACACCAATAACATCAACTCGCCAACAAAGCACCACCACCAACAACACCCCCGCGCCAGCTCATGCCTCCTCATCAATGGCCTTGAGGTATGATCGGTGTGCACGGCGCATGGGGAACTTGAACGCTTTCCCACCACCAAAACCGCCACCACCACCGCCACCACCACTAGTACCGATGCTACTGCCCACGCTGCTGGCAATGCTGTCACTGCTGCCGCGACCAGCACGAATGCCGTTGGGGGCACCTGGTGCGAACGAAGAGATGGGAGAGAGGGGCGACATTGGTCGAGAGAACGGGAGAGGCGATGATGGGCAGGTGGCTGGCGAGGGTGGTGCCCCCGTGAACACCGTGTCCTCTGTGCACGACGACATAATCTCAATGTACTGGCCCTGGTCACCAACGGCGGACTCGCGCGTTGGCTTCGATGTTGCAATGTTGGTGGACGATGTGGAACACGTGGACGGGCGTGTCGTTCGCCCACCGTACGACGACGGCGTGTGCGAGTTGCTGCCGCGCCCGTGTGCGCGCACCTTTGCCATGGTCTGCTGGCGCGTGTGCAACCGCTGCTCGCTCGAGGAGAAGAGGGCGTCGCGCATGCGCTCTGAGAGGGCGACGTAGTGGGCGAAGATGAACACGCCCTGCAGTACGGAGAACACTGCAAAGAGGTATTGCCAGGCAACCGTGTGCACGTCCACAATGGCCATTGCGGCAAACACCCACGTCAGACCAAGGATCCAAGCAAAGGTGAAGCCTGCACGTGCCTGCACACGCGTCGTTGCCTCCTTGGAGATGGAGCGAAGGCTGCTGGCCATGAGGCACGTGTTCACCACGAGCATGACACCGAGTGGTACGGCAAACCCGTACAGCGATGACGTGTTCATGTCCAGCCAGCAGTAGTCCGTGGATGTGTACGTGCTGGGAGAGGCGGCGTACGTGATGCCAGCGACGGCAGCCGATGCCAGGATGCATGCAAGCAACGCTCTGGGGATGGAGATGGGCTGCTGGTCCATGATGTCCACGAAAGAGCGATAGATGTTCACGCCAATCACAATCATCCACGCAAACCCGAGCACCAGCGAAAAGTGTAGCGCAAACGCCATGCCCACACACCCCGCATTGCTGCTGCTGCTGCTGTCGCTGCTGCTGCCACTGCTGGCGGCTGAAGCTGCGTCGCTGCTGTTGCCACCTGCGCTGTCCAACGTGAAGGCCTCCGTCGCCGAAGACGTGGTGCCGTCGTTGCTGCTGCTGCTACTGCTGCCTGCGGTGAGAGAGCCACTTGTCAGCAGCATGACCAGCAACAGGCACTGCCCAACAACAAGAATCACAGCAAGCACGACGACGAGGCGGTGGTGTTCCTTGACAAAGGGCTTGTTCCACACGTACGCATACACGAGTGCAGCGAGCACAAGTGCTGCAACGGAGAAGCCGGAGCCAACGTATGTGATGAGCTGGAGAGCGAGCGTGTCCGTTGAGCTGAGGGTGGACACGCCATCAGACTTCATCAACACCGCATACGACGTCGTGTGCGAGCACGTGCACGTGACGCGACTGCCGTCATCGGAGATGTCTGTGGCGCATCCGCTTGTGTTCCATGTCCTGGCTGATGGGTCCCACCAGTGGCAGACGAGTTGGAAGGTGACAGTCACCGAATCACCACCTCCGCTGCTGTCGCTTGTGCTTGCGCGGCAGTTGGTGGTCGCACTCACGCCCTTGCCAGCGTGAAGAGGGTCTTTACACAACTTTGGCGCTTCATCTGTTGCTGCAGGCAATGGCACTGAAACTGACGGCGACGACGACGATGATGATTCTGATGCTGATGATGATTCTGATAGTGATGGGATGCGGGTCATCTTGACTTCAAGCACAGGCCCGCCAATGGCCTGCAGGTACGTGCGAGTGCGCAGTTTCGAGTTGCGGAGCTGGTGGGAGGACAGCGTTGTGGCCGTGGCCATGGCAGTGCGCAGCACAATGTCCGTGTTGTCGGAGCGAGGATGGTCCATCGCATGGGACATGTTGAAGGCCACTGTCAAGCGCGCAGGCTCGCTGTCACGAGTGCCGGCATTGCCTGCTCCGCTGACTGATGGCCACGTGAAGTTTCTCCCACTGGCGAGTGTGACGTCAACAACATCTGACACGATGCCAGCGCCTTGCTCGCGCACGCTGCACAGGGCACAGGGAGGGCTGGCGATGGTGCTGTTGACGGTGGTGATGGACACGTTGACGAGCGGTGAATGTGCGAGCACTGTTGCTTGTCCTAGGCGCGAGAGCTGATGCGGGCAAGCAGGCAGAGGAGGGCGAGGGAAGAGGAGGAAGCAATGGGTGAGTCGGTGTTGTGACCGCGCGCATGCTGCCACGCAAACGGAAAAGGCGCGGACACTGAAATACAAGTTGATGTGTACATGCACACACACACACACAAACAAACAAACAAACAAACAAACACACACACACAAACAAACAAACAAACAAACAAACAAACAGACAAACAGACAAACAAACAAACAAACAAACAAACAAACAAACAAACAAACAAACCTCAGCAGGGATGGTGACGGTGTTCTGGAGGTAGGATGGAGTGAGGCCACTTGCAAGTACAGCTGCGCTGGTGGTGTCAATGCTGATGGTGTCGTTGGTGGAAATAAGATTGAGGAAGTACTGGCTGGTGCTGAGGTCGGTGATGCGAGCCAACACACTGGTCAGGATACCAGTTGACGCATGCACGAGCGAGAGCAGCGTGTTCAGCAACGGCAGCGGCGATGACACGATGGTGATGAGCTGTTGGATTGTCGACCCCAACAGCGACAGCACAGCTGACGACAGGTCTTGCACCGTCGCCAGGACACCGGCCAGGTCGAGTGACTGCAGGACGCTCGCCACACCACCGAGCAGCGTATCCACGACATTTGTGGTCAGCGACAGGCCCTGCGTCACGACGGTGCTGATGGTGGAGAAGGCAAGCTCGAGCGTTTGTGCCACAAGGCCTGTGTATGCGCTCTGCACCAAATTCAGCACGCCGCCGAGACCGCCGCCACCACCGACACTGGTGATGCCTGTTAGCGCGGACGTGACAAATGCGCTTGCAGTCTGCTGCAGCACACCGGTAATGTCAAGCACAGCGTCGATGGCGCTTGTCGTGTCGACGATGGTTGCTGTGACGGTGGACTGCAAGTTGTCGAGAAGCCCAAGGCCAAAGAGACCGCCCGATGGCCACGACCACGACGATGACGACGACGTGATGTTGCATTGGCTCACGTCTGGATCGAGCCAGCCCGGTGTACCGCAGGAGCCTAATGACGACATGGTGACGGAGACGGTGGTGGCCGTGTGTGTGTGTGTGGGGGGGGGGTGAGAAGAAGAACGAGTGTGAAGGGCGGGCAATCAAAGCGAACGTGGGTTGTTTGATGGACGCACATGCGCAACCACACACAGGCAAACAAGTGGGAACAAATGCGTTCAACACACATACCAGTAGGTGCACATACACACGCAGACACAAATACACACAAGCACACACAAGTACACACAGGCACACACAAGAACACACACAGACGCGTGCACACAAGCACAAGCACGCACGTAAAAGCAAATAGCACACTGTGTGCGCACCTGTGAGAGCACCGAGGAGGCCGAGAGGCGAGGACGACTCGCAGCAGTAGCGGTAGGCAACAGCGCCAGGGGTGCTGGGGCAGGGTGCAACAGCAACAGCACCTGTGGCATTGGGCCATGCAATGCCGTCCAGCATCTCAGCCGTGCAAGCAGACGATGACAGATCGGGAAGGAGGGATGGCACAATGGCTGGGATGGACGTGATGATGGCAACCGCCTGCGTCACGACCGACACAACAACGCCCAAGATGTCGATGGACAGGATGGCGCCCAACACATTTACGGCGGGGAGAAGCGTGTGCTGCACCGCTGTGACGGCACCAAGCAGCACCTGCGTTGTGCCCAGCAGCAGCGTGCCCAGCAGAAGATCCAGAACACCCACCAGCAGTCCCACCAGCGCCCCCAACAGCCCACCATCAACTGGTGCGAATGCGCAGTGCATATGTGCGTGATGTATGTGTGTGCGTGCGTATGATGTATGTGCGTATGTGTGTAGGTGTGTGTGTGTGTGTACGTGTGTGTGTGTGTGTGACAGTGTGAGATTCGATGGTGATGTTGATGACATCAGCGACCTTGGCTTTTTTTGTGTTGGGTGTTGACAACGCATGGCGACACTGCTCGCTTGCATACAGTTCAAGCGTCCACACCTTGGTCTGCGTTTTGCAGGCACGACGTAAATTGCTGCACCTCCGCCACGTGCGCATCAGATTGGAGGAGATGAAACGGGCACACACTCAAGCACTCACTCGTCGCCCCACACTGGCGTGTTGTGAAAGTGTTGCAGAGGGAGGACATTGGTGAGAAGAAGCGTGCGTTGGAAACAACAGGGCGTGATGTGTAAAGGACAAGGTGTGATTTGCGTGCGTATCCCGTGCGAGCATGTGTGTGCATGTGTGCTCACCTCTGCCACTTGTTGCGCAATGCAATCGATGGAAGCGCTGCAGCCCGTGTGGTCATTGCATTCCTGTGAGACGGCGGATCTGCATGTAAACGCCTCCGCCACAGGCAGGCATGCCGCTGGTGTGGTGGGGAGAGCAAAGTGGCGGAAAAAGCAGTCGTGGAATTATAGAACAGCGAGAAGAGGAGACAGGTAATGACGTGAGCAGTTGGGTCAGCGCGGGGCAGTTGGTGCAGCAGGTGGTAATGTGTGTGGATGTGTGTGTGTGTTGTGGCGAGTGAAGTCCAAAACAGTCATGCACACGTACACACACACACACACACATGTGCACACACACACGTGCACACGCATCGCGCGTACACAAACATGAACGCATACACACACACACACACACACACACACACACACACACACAAACAAACAAACAAGCAACTCACTGAAGGATTGACAGACGAGAATTGGGCAGCTGAGGAGGGTGCACACAGCGTCCTCTCGCACAAAGCACTTGTTGTCCTCGTAATCATATGCGCAGGATGATTCCTGCTCGCACGTCTGTTCGTCGGAGATGCCACCGCAAAAGTTGAGCAGTGTTGGCCGGCACCCATACCACGCACACGCCTGCGACCTGCGAGACAAAAGGTGTGTGTTGTGTGTGTGTGTGTGCACACGCGTGTGTCGTGCGTGTATGAGGTGAGATGAACGGAAAGAACAGTACTCACACAAACAGCGGAACGAAAGGCAACGGGTGGCGCAATGCTATGCACTCAGCAGCCATTCATAACTGGCAACAGCAACATCACACCACTTACGCGTCGCAGTTTGATTTGGAGGTGAACTGCGTGCAGTGATCCTCAGGATCCGTCGTGGACAGCACTGGCAACACAACACAACGGAGAACGCGTGTATGTGCATGGTGTGTGAGAGCATGGTGTGTTTATGTTTGCGTGTGTGTGTTTCAGTGTGTTGGCGTGTTTGCACATATGAGTGTGCGTACAAGCGTGTGTGTCAGACGTTTGTGTGTTCTCACCATCGGTTGCGGTAGCGGAGAACGACACCTCAAGTGCGAGCGTCGTGCTGGGCGTCTGGTGATGCAGGCCATGACAGTGAGCATAGGGGAAGGCGGTGAGAGGGGCAAAACAGGTGGAACGAAAGACAGACAGAAACAGAACACACAACCACACACACACACACACACACACACAGGCACACACACAGGCACAGGCACACACACAGGCACATACACGCACACAGTCACACACACCCGCACACACACACACAGTCACACACACACCCGCACACACACACACACAGTCACACACACAGTCACACACACAGTCACACACACACACACACACACACACACACACACACACACACACACACACACACACACACGAGCACACCAGCAACATCATGCCCACACCTGTCCGGTGAAGGTGAGCGTGTTTGACGTAAAATCGGGTGCACCGTCAACAACAAAGGCGGCGTGATGCGTGGCGTTGGCTTCGCTTGCAGCAAACGTCACAGCACGGCAGCCAGCGGGCAGGCTGTTGGGATGCAGGAAGAGGTGGTGATGTGAGGTGCTAAGTTCACAGGAGCGGTAAAGAGTGGGTTGGAGCCACGGTGACGCACACACACGCACAGCCTGTAAGCACGCATACGAGACACGCACACGTCGACACACACACGTAAACACACACATACACACACATACGTACACACACACGTAAACACACACATACGTACACACATCGCTGGCAGATGAAGGCGGTGCGTACCTTGTGTGGAGCACGACGAGGAGGGTGTCGAGGTTGGCGATGGAGGGGACTGGAGCATCGGCATCCCAAAACAGCGGAACACCCGTCCACCAATTTGGCGCCAAGAGAACATTCTCTTCGTCGTCCGCAGCAATCTAAAGGCACGCACGGATGAATGAGAAGCGTCGGCGGCAGCGCGAGATCAGGACGTGCAGGACTTGCATGAGACAGACCAACCATGGGAACACAGACACACACAGGCACAGACACAGTCACATACACATACACACAAACGCAGACACACACACACACACACGCAGGCACACAGGCACACCCACAGAAACACAGACACACACACACACACACACACAGACACACAGACACATAGACACACACGCACACACAAAGCAACAAAACAACAAACCACGCAAGGTACAGTCTCGTACCGTTGGAACGGTGGCAGCCGTTGCCGAGGCGGAGGCAACACGATCTCCGATGATGGACGACGATGAGAGTGTTGATGGCGAGAAGTCCACAGCAGATGTGCTAAACACGGTCACGTTCACGCTGGCAGCAGCACACGCCTGGCGATGCGTTGGGGGAAAGGAAAAGAGGGGGGGGGGGAGACGAAGGGTGAAAACAGTGCATGGAAGTGGCGTGTGGAAGGTGTGCGTCGGGGAACGGTGCGTGAGGGTTGTAGAAGGGTGCCGAGCAAGCGAGGATGGGGAACATGTTTGTTTCAGCATGAACGCGTGTGTGTGTGTGTGTGTGTGTACGTGTGTGTGCGTGTGTGTGTGCGATGAATGTGCAGCGAACACATGTTTTCGGACACAATCGTCCTACGTTGGTATCTGCTTCAAGAAACACGATGGGGAGAGTGATGTCGTTGAGCGTTGCCGTTGCAGGCACACCAGACAGCTGAAGAAAAAAAAAAATACACGAAAACAGAGAAGGGAGGGGTGTGGGGTATGGGGTGAGAAACACAGCAGACGTGGCACTTGGGGTGCGCCAGTACGCAAGTTGAAAACTTCGCACACACAACACACGCACACACCACACCACACACACACGCACACACACACACACACGCACACACACACACACACACACACACACACACACACACACACACACCACCAACACCACCACCACCACACACACACACACACACACAGCGCATGCACACAACGCAGCACCAATAGCAACCTGGAGCGGCTGGGCGAGGGCTTCGATGTCTCGTCGCGACACATCTGCAGTGTGCCGGTGCGTCGTGTTCACCGTGGCTACACGACCAGCAATCTCACGCATGAACACGCTCACGCCAGTGGTTGCTGCACCCGTCGTCGCGCCCCACGTGAGCGCGGGCGTGGTGTACGTCGTGCACTCTGCGGTAGATGCGTCATGCACGGCAACGGAGCATGTGATATCGCCCTCACAGAGCAGCGCGCAAACGCCGGCATCTGTGATCCCACTCGCTGTCGTGCCGGCACCACTGGGCAGCCCTGTGATGTTCACCTGACGCACAGCATGCAGTGCGCGGTAATCTGTCGTCGTCGTTTTGGCGGTGGTGATGGTGGGTGTGGTGGCGTGCGCAAGTGCGCGTGGTTGTGTGTGAGCAAGTTGTGCGCGCAAGTGTTTGTGAGCTGGAGTGTGTGTGTGTGTGTGTGCGTGTGTGTGTGTGCACATGTGTGCGCGTGTATAGTTGCGCGCATGTGCGAGTGATGCGCTCACACAAGTCGACCAACAGCACAACAGCACAACAGCACAACAACGCCGTTGGTTCTCACCGCGATTGAGAGCGACATCAACCGCAGATGCAGTGATGTTGTGCAAGACCACATGGCTCGATGCGTTGGTCGTCTGTCGGCCAAACAAGTCGGTGGATTGGTGAAGCAGTCATGAATGGTGGTTTTGCGCTTCTCAACGTCAGTTCAACATACCCACACACACGCGCAGAGCACAAGGCACCCTGTCATTGACAGAGATGCGCACACACACAAAGCAGACACACAGACAGACACACACACACACACACACAAAACCACACACTTTTCCTCCTTCTCACCTGGAGCCTCCAGAAGAGGTTTGCTGCTGCGAACGCGTTGGCGTTGAGCGCGAGCGTTGTAGTGACGGTCGTCGCCTGTTCGCCCAACAGCGACCCGTTGGCAGCCCGATACGCACCCCCATCATCTGTGTATGGATGGGATGCGAGCGATGAGGGTGTGTGTGTGTGTGTGTTATGTGAGTGTGTCGTGTGCGTGCGTGCGTGCGTGTATGTGCGTGTGTGCGCGCGTGTGTGTATGTCAACATGTGTGCGCTCATGAACGTGTTCTTCATCTCCTGTGTGCTTGTGTGTGCTTACCGAAGACGGCCACGAGTTCCCAGGTGACAGAATGATTCGTCTGTTCATCGCGGAAAGGCACAATGCAAAGAAGCGTGAGACAACAGAGTTTAAACTTGTTCGCTCACCACACACACACACACGCACACACACGCACACACACACACACACACACACACACACACACACACACAGAGGAGCAGACGCAGTCGCACCAGCGTGGATGCAGTCAGGGCGAGGGTGATGTTGTCCATGTATTGGACGTCCACCACGGCCTGCACCTCTGCCAGGGCTTCGCCTTGTATGCTGAGGCCGTTGCTTGCACGTGTTGTGGTTACAGCCAGCAGCCCAGTTGCATCAACCTGCCAAGCAGGGACGCAGTGAATTGGAGGGTGGGGTGAGGGTGTGCGTGAGGAGATGAATGCAGGCGTTGATGGAGGCAGGGTGTTGTGGGGGGGGGGGGTGTTGGAGTCACAGCAATGCAAACGGATGCACCGCCACGACTCCACACACGTTTTCACACGGCTTCACACACACACACACACACAACACACACACACACACAACACACACACACACACACACAACACACACACACACACACACACAACACACAACACGAAGACGCACCGTTGCCCGATACAGGGAAGACTGGTCAAGTGCGGCGATGGAGGCGTTGACGCCTGGGATGAGGAGGTGGCTGCTGGTGACATCATCAGCTGGGGCCAAGCTAGCCTCAAACAGCGGCACAGTGGCGGTGGTGGTGCTGCTGCTACTTGCTGCTGCTGCTGTCGTGCCCACAGCCAACACCGTCGCGAGCACCACCAACCCAAGCAGCGCTGCGGGAGCAATCATGGCGCCTCCCTCTTGCTTGCTAACTTCCGGCTATTGCGCTCTGCTATGTGCGTGTGTGTTGTGGTGGTGGTTGCTGCTGCTGCTGTTGTTATTGTTGTTGTGGTGGTGGTGGTGGTTGTTGTTGCAATAAGCGAGACGTGCGCTTCGCTTGTGAGCAAGAATGAACCACGGCCCTGGTGGTGATGAATGAGGGACGGTTGCGTCTTGCTCGCTCGCTGACAGGAGACGACCTGCTGTACCTGTTCCGAAGAAAGTGGCCACGAGCAACTCAGGACGATGCGGCGATGCTATGCGTATTGGGGTGGTGGATGAGGATGACTGCAGACGCATCCACTCACTTCTTCGACACACAGACAACGCCTTCAGCTATGCGTGCTTTGGTTTGTGTTGTGTTGTGTCGTGTCGCGATATCCTTCAAGTCCGTCAGGGTTGTGGGCTGTTGGGATGAAGCAAACCCCTGCAACAACGGTTCGCCACTTCGCTGCAGCAACACACATTCGCGTGCCTAGGTCTAAACATCATCATCGTTGTCGCGCGCACACACCCCTTTTCCCTTCTCGAAGGTATGTATCTGCATGTTGTTCGTGTGAGATGATGGCAATCGATTGCTTGTTTTGGGTTGAGTGAGTGCATCATCATGATTGAGCGAGGAGGACAGCCTCGCCCAAAGTGCGAAGGACTGACCGCACGTTTGAGCGTTGTGCAACAACGACACCCTGACTGCACGTCTGAAATTTAGCATAAATCATTTACAAATGTTCGTAACTCCGCCACCGCAAAGGAAGACGGACAAGATGGCTTGTGGCGGAAGAGCAACACGCGCTGTGGTGTTGTGAGAGGGTGTGTTGTGGTTGTTGTGGTTGTTGTTGTGGTGGTTGTTGGTGGGTGTGCTGTGGTGTGTGAGGGAGACTGGCCAGGGCTGGAACGAGTGCGTGGCGTCCGTGAGAGTGGCATAGGCGGTGGAACAGCTGCCGCCAGACAACACGACTGAGCCCGTCTGGTTCACCTTGCCGGTGTTGACGAGCACGACGGCGATAGTCCCATTTGGCCACCGCGCAGCAACACTGCGCACAACGCCGTCGCCACGACTGGCGGTCGTGTTGGTGCGGAGCAAGGTGCTGTTGCGCGGAATGGCGCGCGTGAACTGCTTGTAGGCGTAGTACTGCTTTCGCACGCGGTACGCCTCACGCACGCGGTCCCGTGGCTCATAACCAGGGGTGTCCAGCACTGACCGCAAAGCGAAGGTGTAACGCGGGGAGGAGACACGCGTCGCAGACAAAATTGACGATGGCGACGACGACGAGGGTGCGGACGTGGCTGTCGTTGGTGCAGCTGTGGTGGGTGTGTCTGCCACTGAAGTGTGCGCATCAGCATCACAGGCCACGAGGGTTGCTTGCAGTTGTTGTTGTTGTTGCGTGGCCGACGGCACACCTGATGACGTTGCTGGCTGTGGTCGCGTGCCAGATGGCCTTGATGTCGTCGTGGCAGAAGCAATGGCATCTGTAGCATCTGCAGCAGTTGCTGTTGTGGGTCGCATGTCAATGCAGAGGCCCGTGCTGTTGAGGCGGATACGGCGTGTTGCTGCGTCCACCACCCACTGCTGGTTTGCGCTTCCCCAGCACGAGTACACGCGCACGCTGTCACCAGCACGCATGCCCTGACCCCAGTCATCCATGCAAGGGCCAGAGCTGTTGTGTGCGCGCACCTGCCCATCAACCACCGAGAACACCTGTCCAGTGTATCCAGTGTTTGGGCGAGGGAAATAGGAGATACACAGCTGAGTCAGGTGATCACACAGCAACGTGCATGACAATGTGCAAACATGCGCGCACATACAAACATTGACAAACACACACACACACACACACACACACACACACACACACACACACACACACACACACACACACCTGATTGGGGTTGTTGACGTCGCAGGGAGAGCAGGTAATGTTGGAGCCATCTGCAACACCCTCCACTTCAACACAGCACGATGCACCCGCACCATCAGCACCATCGTCGCCATCATGGCTGCGATTAGCGACGATCTGATAGAGGTTCTCCTCGTGCACGGTAGCGGCGAGAAGGCCCCATCCATCCGGCGACAGGCTGTTGTCTAGGTCCACGGTCTGCCACAACGTCCACACGCTAGCATTCAGCTGATGCAAGTCCGTGATGATGCGTGACGCAAGCTCCAGTCCTCCCTGCAACGGCCCTGATCCCGTGCCATACTCGGAGTTCCAGAGCTGTTTCCCGTGTTTCTGCGCAAACGCTGCCAGCGCTTCGCGCCGAATGCCGTTGTACGTGTGCGTGGTCAGCAGGTCCATGCCGGCCAGCGTCTCCGCAGGGTAGGACTGCAAGGACAGCAGCGCGTCGTCGATGGAGTTTTCCTCCGGTCCAGACACGCCCACACCGCGCCCGCCAGCAGCGCTGGGTGCTGGCGCTGTGGCGCGGAGCTGACTGCTCAGCGCTGCGATGACGGCTGCCTGCTTGTCGCGATCAAAGTGGCACCCTTCCTGATCGTTGCCATACTTCCACCACGATGACACGGGCTCGTTGAGCGGCGTCACAGATACAAGCGCGTCCCCAAGCGGCTGCCACGGTGGCTGCTGTTGACAGCGAGGGGCTTGGTCTGGCGGGCCGTGTGCGAGGGCAACAGTTACGTTGGCCAGATATGCTGCAAATGCGCCGTACATGTCATCGCGAAGGTTGTTGCTGCCGCCCACAGCGCCCGTTGCGCTCCCGGACTTTGTCATCCAGTACGGAGGAGAGTTGCTGAACGCCTGTGTGTGTGCAAATGTGTGCGTGTGTGTGTGTGTGCGTGTGTGCGTGTGTGTGTGTGTGTACAAATGTGCGTGTGTGTGTGTGCAAATGTGTGTGTGTGTGTGTGCGTGTGCTCGTGAGTATGTGTGTGGGTGGGAGAAGCAAACACGTGTGAAACAGCGACGTAGTTCGCACGCTGAATGAAGTGCGTGGGATGGTACGCTTCTGTCCAACACCAACACCCGATCTGAAGCAGCCCCATGAGCGCACCCCCAGGCACAAGAATCTCACCTGCACCTGACGGACGCTACCGTTGAGGGCGGCATAGAGAACGCGGCGTTGCGGATAGTCTGCACCCCAATCAAAGGTACCATCTGCGCCCTGATAGCCGCGCACAAGCGCACCCGGCCGCAAGAAGTGTGCATTCTGTGGATTCTCACCCCCTGTGTGGTGTAACACGCATTGGTGGTAACGTGACGAATGAGTGTCGTAGTGTAGCCAAGGAATCAAGTGCTTCGCGCATGGGATTGACAGAGGGAGAGAGAGAGGCAGAGGCAGAGAGAGAACATATTTGCTCACACACGCATTCACACACATTGACACAACAAAGCACACAAAGCGCACACCTCCAATGTTGTATCTGACGGTGGAGAGTCCCAGGCCACGCGTGTCAGAGAAGAGGAGCTGCATGACGTCCTCGAACGCCGTCGTGTTTGTCCATCGTCCCACGCCGTTTGCCCACCAGCACAAGGATGTGCCAAACCCACCAAACCCTCGCTGCTGTTCACAGCCCACGCACACATCCACCACAAACGACGATGAGGATGATGACGAGACTGACACTGCCACTGTCGCTGCAGCAAGAAGGGCCACAACAAACACAAACACAAACATCTTTTGCTGTGTCGTGGAGAATTGGTCGAAGACATTGCCATTTATCCGCAAAACAGCCAGCCAAAACGCTCATTGCCCGTGCTGTCGTGCGGCTTGGATTGTTGTGGATTGGAGCAACTCGCACCCACTCCTCACTCCTGTCTCAGACTTCCGTCGACCAACCGTGTCATCGATGACCTGTGACATGACGATGCTGGCACTGGCAGTGCTGGTGGCGTGCGCCTTTTGTGTCAACGCTCAGAATGCGGTATGTAATCTAAAAACATGCACTTTGCTTCGTGGTGTTTTGAATGAAGCGCGTCTTGCAGCAGAGCCGTTTTGACACAACAACAACCGAAACACACGTTCACACACACACACACACACACACACTCACACACACACACACTCACACACACACACACACTCACTCACTCACACGCAAACACGCACACACACTCACTCACGCAAACACTCACTCACGCACTCACACACAACATGCGTGTAGGCGCCAGAGCCGGAGATGCGCGCCGTGAATGGCAGCTTGGAAATCCATGTGCAGCAAGGAAACGCAGTCTATGCCGTGGAGCACTCAGGCTCGGGCGAGTCCACACGCCTTGACCTCCTACAACTGCTGCGGCGCGTGTGAGTGGAAGCTGCGTGCTTACGTTTGATTGCCGGGTGTTCATGTTCGTGCGTGCACTCTTACCTTGCTTGCCGATGCAATGGACTGCGACTTAATGCAACGTGTGTGCATATGCTGCAAATGCGCTTCGCATCGTGTTGTGCGTGCAGGACACCGCTGGAGGAGCGTCAGGACAAGACCGACTGGCGACTGAATGCCACCGTCGATGCCATGACCAGCGCCGTCGAGAGGCTGCGTGAGCGTGGTGACGACTTGGGCCGCCGCACCAACACGTCCATCGCTGCCCTCGAGGCCGAGCTGACATCCACCATCAACACCAAGACGCAGACCCTGGCGACGGCCGTGGGCGAGGACATACACAGCCTGCGCGCCAACATCACCGCCACCATGTCTCAGCTGCGCGCATCCGTGGACAGCGAGCTCTCCGATCAGCGGTCTGCCATTAACGACCTGTCTGGTCAGGTCACTGCCATCACGGATCAGCTCGTGCCGCGCATGCAAGCACTGGAGATGCAGCTGCAGGCGCTGCAACCCGTCCTCGACACCTTTGCCGGCTGCACCAACATTGCAGCATATGCCAAGGTGGACGGTACGTGCTACCCGACGAGCGGCGTGTGCCCGGACCCCGTTGTCATGGAGGGTGTCACAATCACCATCGCCACCTCTGTTCAACCGGATGTGATTGAGTACGTCCCGGGCACGCTCGTCAACTTTGCCTGTCCAGACGGATACTACTTGCCCGGCGACGACACCGCCACTTGTACG